GAGCGAGCGAGCGAGTGCCATTCCCCATATCGTATCTACAACTCGCTCTTGCGCATGCGCGCAATTCACGAGTTAAAAAATGGAGCACTTAAAAACTATCGAGGGAAAAAGAACTTGAAATTTCGCGACTACACTCAGAAACCTCAAAATCACTCCACCGACAAAACAAAAACAAAAATAATTTTCATACCAATTCTTGGAGGGAAAAGACATGTTATTTTTTGAAGTATCATCACTGAGGCTATTTGGAAAACGCTACCCCAATCCACCCTGGGGACTCCATGGAAAAGGAACTGTAGCCTTTTCGTTCAGACAAATTTTTCGGATTATTTTGGATGAGGGAAACATTGTAATAACTGAAAAGAATAAAAATAAATAATCCCGAATCCCCTTAGTCAGTAGATGGCATACTCCACTAAATGGATGGCAACGCGAAAGATGTCAACGCTTCTTAGGAGTGAAAATAATTTTTTCTCCTTTATAAAGAAACCACGGATTAACTTCGAGTCAACTTCAGCTTGGCACAAACATTCAGTAGAAGAATACAGGTGTTCAAGGCCTTCATTAGTCATCAGTTTATCTAGGTGCGCCCTCTGTGGCGAATTTGGTTTCCTCCAAGGCGGAGATTCAAATGGAATAGTCAAGTACTATGATAAATACATAATCCTACAAAGTTATCATTATCATGAATGCCATCTTAATAATTCGTGTACTAAATGTCCACGACATTACCTTTATCCAGCTTTGCAAGGAACAGATGAAAGATATAACTGGATGAAACTAGCTTGCACGAAACAACACTGAGGGAAACAAAGCCAATGAGTACAGAAGTACAAAGCACCCATCAGAGCAAGTTAATTTACAAATTCCATGATCCCACTTGTAAAACGACTTAACCGCCCGCGGTTTAGGATTGCTTAATTCGTAGGAGATAAATGCTCAATTTCCGTACACTGATGTCCAGTCACCGGAAAAATAGTTTTTAAAGGATCTATAGCTTTTAACATTTGGGATGCAAGTGCTTTTGGAATGAATTTGGTGGTATGTCGACTTCTGCTCACTAAAAATATTTATGCAAATTAGGATAAGGAGGACCTGAGATCGCTTGGCATTTATTAACTGCCATTTATTATAGAATATGACATTTACGCAATTTAGTTAGATATGTTCACAGTAAAACGCACGTGTGAGAACATTTGACGAAGTAGCTTTTACCTGAGAATTTTAAGAAAAAAAAATAAGATTGTCTGACAATTGTTATTGTGAGTCATTCGGTTGAGACCAAGAAACTACGAGTGTTTCTACTTCGATATAACCAATCCTAAACCGCGGGTCGTTAAGTCGCTTCACACGTGGGAGTTGATGGGTGCTTTGACTAGAAACAGTGTTTCAGAAATGAATTTAAAGCGAAAGGCACAGGTTAGCTTCAAACTTAATGAAGAAATGAATATACATGGATGTTGAATCAACCCACAATGATAAAAAAATGATCGAAGCGTGCAAGTATGTTGATATACTTGCAGAGGAAAACAGCACATAATTCGAAAATCGCTAATGACGTGTTCCTCGATCGAGAAAACGGCGTATAAGTTAGCTCGAATTTCCGTGTTTGTTGACCAAATGATAAATTTAATTCTTTTCATCAGATTGATGGGACAAAGACTTCAAGTGGACAACCCAATCCTTGGCAAATGAAGCGTAGTTTCGGCATCGAACTGATGAAGGCTCAGTTTCTTTTAGGGCCAAGGACAAGTATTGAGCTTTTTGGAAACACAATTTTTCTTTCGTAATTCAAGCCTTGCATTTGAGTTTTATTCATAATATTTCATCCACAGATGTTTGGATTCTCCAGACATGTACATAATTTTTGAATTCGAATTTCGCTTTGACCTCTAATTTCACAAGCGAAAACTATGCCCCATGAGTCAGGAGAGGAATCTAGAGTTATCATCATCACTAATGACATCTTAACAATTTTCCATAACACTACCTTTGTCGAGCTTTGCCGGGAAAGGATAAAATATACAAGTAGAAGCTGAATGAATCTTGTACGCACGCCAACACTGAGAGGAGAAAACCAAATATATTCACAAGGAACCGCCCATCAGAACAAACTAACTGTCACGGACCGTGCACGGTCAATTCGAAGTTAATGCACAAAGCATTCCAAGTCCCAAGTAAGCTTGTTACAAATAATTACACCTAAGTCTTCCTACTTGTGTACACGCAGTAACTTTTTGGAGCTTAAAAGATAGTCTTGAAGTAACGGCGCCTTCTTACAATATCAACTCGTATAATCATGGAAAAGGAATAAACAAAATATTATTAATTTATCATTTCAAAATTTGGTCTTTCATAATAAAAGAAACGTAAGTTTCAAGGGGTGTAGGCAAGGGAAGCCGTCTAACTCCCTCAAAAATATTTTTATAATTCAATTTGAGTTGGTTACGTATCACACAGCGACAAAGATGGCTTAGCTGTCTGACATTTCGAGAACATTCCATGAGCCAGGCCTGAGTATCACGTGATATGGCACAAAAGAGAGTTGACCCCCGACCCAAGGCTCCAAGGCTTACCACAGCTTGTGCGTCACATAACATGCGGCAAATGTCCAAGCGTTGATTCTCAGCGGCTGTGACAAGGGCTGTTTTTCCAAAGACCGTCTCAATACTAGGGTCTCCATGATAAGCAAGAATCAGACAAACGCACTCCACATCTTTGGCCAGATGCAAGGCAGTTCGTCCATTTCTGTCTTGCAAATCAACATCAGCGCCAAACCGACATAAAATCTCCGTAGCTGACACTCGTTCAGACTTACTGCGCCCGTATTGAGCATACATCAGCGGAGTCGCTCCCCAACAGCTCGCCAGATTTAAAGGCGCTCCGTGACAACAGAGTGCTTCCAATACGTCAAAACGGCCGTATAGTGTTGCCATTGCCACAGGTGTCTTTCCCATGCAGTCTTGCGCAGACATGTCGGCCCCATTCTCCAAAAGAATCTTAACACACGCGGCAGATTGGGCAAAATGCAGAGGCGTCATACAGGGGACTGAGCACGTGCTAGAAATAAACGAACCGGAAGTGATTTCATCTGATTTCGTACTCCATACGGCTTCTCTGTTGTTGACGTTTGCCCTGTGACAGCAAAGCCATTTTACGACAGCGATGTTATCATATTCCACGGCTATTCTGAGTGGCGTGACAGGAAGCCCGTGAGGTGAGGTCCTGAGGCTCGCCAGAAAGTTGACGTCTATCAGTCCTAACGTTTACATGTAAGATCTTATTAGGTCATCTCCTATTTCATATCGCAATGAATCATCTTTATATCATTACGACTGCACGGCTCTAAAGGCTCAATGATACGTCGCGTCCCGCTCTGGCGAACTCATCACTGGAAATGAAACTTATAATTCTAAAACTGAGGCCATCAGAAGAAAATTAAAAAAAAGATTGAAATTGAAGACAGTAGTTTTTAAAATAAGAGAAGGGAAATTTTGATTTTGATTTTAAAATCGAAATCTGATTATTTTAATTGATTAGTTTACCACGCCGTACATTTGAAAAATCTAAATAAGAAACTATAACGAGTAATTAATCACAAAGTTCTCTTTTTTCCCATCCGGTGCTCGTTCTTGGGAAGAGGTGATTTACAAGTTTACTCACCATATTTTGTCAAAACTGTCAAGCAGCGCACAGATCCTGCGAACGACGCAAACACAAACATTTCTTCAAAGTTTTTCATTGTTAATTCCAAAGGATTCGAGCCTCTCTTTGTCGCTTGTTCGCTTAAAATCTTATCCAGCTGCTGGTCTTCATTTTTCAGAATTAATTCCAAAATGTAATCCATAAATTGGCTGCCTCGCATGTAGTTCGATTCATCAAGGTTCATACGCAGTGAATTGAGATGACGCCCCAATTAAAGTCGAAAACATAAGAAACGAGCGTTCGATTTCTACTTATTCAGAAATTTGCATTACCCTAGGACAAAGAACATCTGAAGATGCGTGATAAATTATTCAGTGTATCACAACTCTCCTCGGCGTATTATCAAATGAAAGGGAAAGGTTTCTAAGGAAAATGTAATTCTGCGTCGATGGGGGGCAATAACAGAATAATTGGTATTATATCTTAGTTGTTCATGTAAATTGGCCACCGTTGGCTCTAACGAAGGGATTACGCTCGAAACTTCAGCTTTAGAAACTCTTAACGGTGGCAATTTACTTTATCCACTCAGTTGATAAACTTAATTATCCAACAATTCTTGCGTCGAGTTTAACCAGTTTATCCGTCGACTTTTTGTGCTATACTAGTATATATATATATATTCATAGGTTATTTTGCGGTTGGTGAGCGCGTACAAGCGAACCAACTGCAAGTAACTTATTTATTATATACATACCGAGATTCATAAGTGAACAGAACTCAAAGATAAACTTATCTTTATTTTCTTTCAAAGGAAAACAACGCGCGGTGAAGCCGCCTCACTGTTCGAGAGTTGCACTGAAATGGCTTCCTTGTAAAATACTTTACATTTAAATTATTTAGCAAAAGTCCCGTTAAAAGGTAGAACTAATTAGATTAAAAAAAAGACATCCTGAAAATATGTCGAGATAGTTCTAAGGAAGTTCAAAATTTGAAATGCAGAGGTGAAAACCCAAGACTTCATTCAGCTCTTGAAGAGTCAATTCGTCCATTTGTCTCAAATCGCCTTTCAAAACAAGAAATTCGTCGAACAGAGCAACATCGTGTTTGGTCTTTTGGTGTTTTCATTTTCCTGTCCGTCTATGAACTCTTCTACTGATGAATCTAGGCTCGGGTTTGAAGACATCTTTCTAAAGAAAAATGCGCCTGACTAATATGCTCGTTCAATGTAAGGTTGCTCGTAATGGTCAGACCTAGTGGTTTAGCACTAGACACCCTCTCTAGTTCATTATCATGAAAAACTGTGGCTTATCCTTTACAAAAGATATCATGAGCTCCTTACATTTCTCGCTATTGAGGTGGACTCTATTCTGCGTAGACCACTCCGCAACCTTATGCGCAATCTCCAGGGTACAATTTCGGTTGCCCTTGGCAACGACTTCAGATCCGGTCATAGCGTCAACGTACTTCCGTACATTAGCTAAATTGTCAACATATCAATTATTTATAAATACAAGAAATGGTCATGGGTCTAAGTTTTTCCCTGAGGGACCCCGGAGGGCAATTATTCTGACTGATAGGAGGAAATTCACCAAACCTCTCCCATTTTTAAATTCCATCATTATATTAACAAGAGTTGCATCAAGCATAGTTGCAAAGAACTCTTATAAAACTACTTTCGTTTTGGTTTACTTTGATTACATTACATAGACACATGGATCAGTCTTTGATTGGAACATCCGAGAGGCCCTGTCGAAATAATAAGAGCTGCCCTTAGCGCTGCGATTTAAGTATAACCATTCAAAAGTTCGAAGCACAGAAGTCATAGAAGAGGAGCTTTAACTTTCCTTTTGATTACTTTTCAACAAAAAAGAAAAATTTAGCCAGACAAATAAATAAATAAATAAATAGATAAATAATGGATGAAAAGATATGAATGAAAATTGAAAAATGAAAATAAATTGATAAAAACGAACGAGTGAAGAAGAAATGAAGGATAGAATTTCCGAATATCAAATGAAAACGTGGTGTGAATGACACTGCACCAACTATATAATAAAAATTGACACATGGCCTGTGTAGCTAGGGGTTGAATGCGTGCTTTTTAAAAACACCAAATGGCAGAAGGGGAACTAGTTGACTATTTACAAGTATGGTAGAACTGTTGAGTTTGGAACAGTTAAAAAGCAAATCCAGACAACTGTGAATGTGTGTTTCGAACTTGGAACTTCCGCATTGCGAGCACTATGCAGTCACTCAGCCGCGCTTTCTCTACTGGCAAATTGAATCACTTTAGCCCACTAACAAGAAGTCAGATTCAAATTTTATATTCTTTTAAGAAAGTGAATGCTTCATCAGGCGCTTACCCCAAAAACATTTCCGAACGGCACTTCAAAAAAATTCATCCAGCAAATCGTTCGACCATGGTCGTTTCTGAGGTTTCCTACAATTGAAGCAAGTATGAATAGTTCATCCTTACTACCTCTAACATTTACATATACATTTTTAACCATACAAACCATGTCAAAGCAGCCGCAATAAGATCCTTTGTAGCTTTTGATGTTTCCTTCGGCAACTTTGGTACCGTTGGCTTAGATCCAATATGGAAGATGGCCGCTGCCGGTTCAAGGTCACCCAGCGGAGGTCTTCCCGTCAACATTTCCACAACTGTACAACCTACACTCCTTTATAGGAAAGAAAGAAACCAACTCTTTGAGACCAGACTTAAACAATGATTTAAATCAATTTTAATCTTCATACTCTCATGAAACTTGATCCTCTCTTTCATAAAATCAGATCCAAGGAAAGGAGTGACGAATGCGAAGGAACAGGTCTATCACAAGCAGTTAAACAGCTAACTACGCAGCATTCCCACCTTTGTTCCTTCCAGCACTCTCTCTCTCTCTGTCTCACTCTATCTTTCTCTGTGTGTGTTTTACTTATTATGAAGACAGTTAAACTTACCAAATGTCTGCCTTTCTACCGTATCCTTTTCCCCACAATATTTCTGGTGCCATCCAGTAGGGAGTGCCGTAATAGGATTCAAGAGCGGTTTTGCTCCCAATTTTCTGAGTGTGGATGAAAGAGACCAAGATTCTTTTAAGAAACGGACCTTTGGAGGGTAAACATTTGAATTTCACACCAAATTATCTTTCTCGCCGAGAGTCGAGAGGAGCGGGGATGGCTAATTTGTTTCAAATTTTGCTCTTACCACTTTGTTCTAAACCAATGACCCCACAGGGCTCCCCACAGGTCAAAATCAAAGACAGTTTCGGACGTTCAGGATGGGGTTTGCAAGAAATTATATGCAACATTTGAAATTGCCGAATTGCAAGTAAACAAACAAATTTTCCACCACGAAATGTAAAATACCGTTTATAACTACCCTGCTCAAAGAGAGCAAAGCCCTATTTGTGGCGTGTAAAAATTTGTGAAGAATTTCTTCGTGTGATCGCATAATGGTTTTTTACAGTAATAAAATCCATCTACAAGTTTTTTATATCTGTTTATCGCGGCTTATCGTCTTCAGCCTGTACATTTTTTCAGGAAAAGTTAGTAATGCTGTCTGTTTGTGAGGCTTAACTGAGAAATGCATTGTAATGATATGTGTGATATTGCCCGTGTGCATTTCGTGAGAATCCTATCCCCGCAAAATCAATCAAATGAAGTGCGCGTTCTGTCGGTATCCGGTCAATTCGCCACCACAACAGCAAAAAGACTCGCCATCACTGAAAGTCAAATCGCCACCGGTGGCGATTATTTCATTTAACACGAGCTTCACACGAAGGCTACACAAAACGAAAACGTCAGATCGCCACCGGTGGCGATTTGACCTTCAGTGGTGGCGAGTTTATTCAAAGGATGTAATTAATTGAAAGGATCCTAAATATCATAGAATTGTACCTGAATTATTTTCGATAGTCCGAAATCTGCCAATTTTACATTTCTATCTTGATCTAAAAGGACGTTTGATCCTAGGAATATGTGAAAGAATCAATTAGAGATTTATAGACTTCACCTAACGAATATCACTCGGCGAAAATCACTCTGGTTTCGCTTTACGCAAAATGATCATAATCTTCTTGATATCAACAAGTTTTATTTCATTTAATGCGAGATTCACACGACAGGCTACGCATTACGGAAAACTCAAATCGCCACCAGTGGCGATTTGACTTTCAGTAGTGGCGAGTTTGTTGTGGTAGCGAATTGACCGTTAACCGTTCTGCCCGCTACAAACACAATCCACATCAGAGGATATAATTAATTGAAAGGATCCAAAATATCATAGAATTGTACCTGAATTACTTTCGATAGTCCGAAGTCTGCCAGTTTAACATTTCCATGTTCATCTAGAAGGACGTTTTTTCCTAAGAATATATGAGAATATATATATATTAATGAAGACTTCAGGTAATGCACAACATACAATTGACATGAGAGCGGAGTTTACCCCAGTGATTAATATCGGTATCAGACATCACCTCTCCCTGAACTTTTATTGTGGATTAAGTACTTGAATTGTGTGAGGTAAATTTCAAAGACGATTGCAAATAAAGACCACGTATGAGGAAGAAGACAAAAACTTGCATCTCAGACAATTATTTGCGTGATGGCTAATCAATGCATTTACTACAATATTTAATATGTATGATCTATGCACCTTTGATGTCCCTATGAATAATTTCTTTTGAATGTAGAAAAGATACTCCTTCCAATATTTGCATGGTGTACTTTCTCGACTCTTTTTCAGAGAGAACTTTTTTCTTCTTTATGTGATCATACAATGATCCCTATCAATAACATCAAACAATCCTTAGCGTGCTTAACGCCAAAATTTCGGTATTTTTCATGTAGATTAAATAAACAATAGCATGCATTTAGTGCGAAATTGTGCTCGTATACTTGTTCTTATGTATTCCTTGAAGAGAACAGTTTTCCGAGAGCGAAGCTCGAGGAAAACTATGAGCTTAAAGGAACTTTTTTTGTCCGAGGACAAACGTTCGAGTATAATTTCGCGCCGGATGGAGGCTACTGTGTCTATCATCCTATGTAATATTTTTGAATCGCGGAAGACTAAATGTTCACGAAAAGTTTACCTTTCACTGACTTGGATGTTCACTTTTCAGTGTTCGCTGGTACGACTTCATAAACAAACAAAAATATGTCCCTTCTCTGCAAAAACCCCAAAACACTGTCTTATCTTAAATTTTATTCTTAACACCGACTTTAGGGACTCACTTAGAGAATATTACCCGATTTTCCTTTATTTTCGGTGGGGTATATCTAGTAACGTGACGTTTTGAGACCAAAGGCGCTCGAGCAAAAACATTTCATGGATTACAATTCACAGCTATTCATTAAAGTGGAGAAGGCTGGTGGTGGATATTTACCGGGCCGCTACTGAGCCACAGACACAGAGGTAAATAGTTGCTTTAGTATATTCAGGAGATTATGGGCAATTTATAATCTATCGGTATAGACTAAATCAGTGAGGTAATATCAGATGGCACAAGAAGATGGGCCTCGTTGGCTATCTATCATCTCACATCCAACGTGCAATCGTGGAATGATTGCTAAATGTATTTACAATAGTAATGAAGTTAACCAAGGTAGATTGAAGAAATATAGAATCAGAAAAAGTCAACGTTCGCTATCCAGAATTAGAAGTCGCTTAGAGAAAGCGTTACCAGCTGTATCCTGAGCTATAGTAAAACTTAAGTTTATTTTGATTTCAGTAACGCCCCTCATCTCAATTAATACCCATCAAGACTTTAGAACACTCAAAAGGTTATAGTAATCATTCATCAACCGCAGAGGCATTAAATATTGCTCTTCTTTAAACTTACCCCTTTCATCAATTCCATAAATAGATGGAGATGATTGTCTTTCTCTACGCTTTTATAATAGGCCACAACTCGGTAGTGTCTGATTTCTTTCAAAATATTGATTTCATTTGTGAGTTGCTCCACCTCCTGGAATTTCGAAGAAGTAAATTTTTCAAGATAAATGAATTCTTCGTGAATCCGAAGAGAAGGCTCATTTCTAATTAATAGACAAATTTTTTGATGTAGCAGTAACCGTATAGCTAAAAATCGGACGTTTTCTTAAATGAAAACATTTACATCAAAGGGTACAAGACTAACCTTTTGCGATTGAGTATACTGAGGCTCTATCTTGACTATTTTCACAGCACACAGGCCTTTATAGTCTCCCGTTGGAAAAGTACACTCATATACCTGAAAAAATTTCCCAGATTAAATCGTTTATCAGTTGCCGTTTTTAGAAATAAAATCGACTATCTTAGAAGGAATGGAGTGTGCCTACGGCGGAGTTACCCTGTAAGAAAGCAAGTCTGTTCTCTGTTGGAATTGTTGCAACGTGGTACGTGACTTCCTCACTTAATTCTGTAGAAATAATATTGTGAGACTTCTTCCAACTTTATTACCGATGACTAGGAATAGCTCTAAATTTGCGTCGAATCCTTCAAATTTTGTTTTATGTTAAATTCCATCAAATAATATAGATTTAGCCAAGCCTAAAAGCGGAGCTCCTGTAAGTTTATTTTCCAGCCCTTCATTATGATAAGAACTGTTATAAAAGTCTTCAGCACTGGTTGCAGGAGAGTTTCTTCAAGGAGATTCAGGACCAGTCTGGGGAGGGGGGGAAGGATTTGACAAGGTCACGCCACCTGCCAAATTGTACTATGTCCGACCATTTCCCGAGGCGGATAAATAACAACAGAGGAACCCAACAAAGGTTTGTAAACATACCGAGCGCCGTAATTTACGTTATTATAACGTGAGCAGAGACGAAAATTCTCACAAAGAAAACGCAATCGACAGTCCGAGTTTTGAAGGTTTTCGCTCAGTTAGATTGCAGGCTTACGTACGGTAGTAAGAATTCAACACAGCTAACACTCGTGAATAAAGTATAGTTTCTTGTTCAAAAACAGAACAAAACAGGAATGATGGAAGATATGGCCAACTGGCACAACTGTTAGAATTCATACTAATCATGAATCATGCCGAGGTCCAACGCGGCTAGCTCAACATTATGATATCCGGTCATCGCAGTGAAGAAGCCTTAGAAATAACATCGGCCGCCCTTCGAGAGAACAACTAAGAGCTTGCCCTAACATACTTTCCGATGCGTTGGGTGGACCTCAACGCATCGGAAAGGATGACGCATCAGTCACAGCAGGCGAGTTTTACGTTTTTATAAAGATTCTTTATTATTAAAAAATAGGGAAGCCTTGACTGCGCCCTGTACTGTTGCAAAGCACTTAGGAAGCGGCAGGAGTACTCAAGAAGTGGGAATATATAAGAGATGTGGACGCATGTTTCACCCTACTCTTCTTTCGTGCTCTAACCGCTTTCTGCGTGCTTTACAACAGAATAGAGCACAGTCAAGGCTTCTCCATTTTTGAATTGTTGATCGCGCGTGATTGGTCTAAACGCATCACGTGACCGAATATGCCCCCCC